CCCCCCCCCCCGCCTTTCCGGTGGCGGCACACCTGTCCTGCACAGATATCTGACACCGGCCCCGTCGCACAGCCCGAGGGCTCGGATGGGACATCCCTCGAGCGGGACGTCCTGCGCCCCGGGACCGAGCTCATGGCCGCCGGGTACGCCCTGTACGGGTCCTTCACCGGCCTGGTGCTGGCCACCGGGGACGGGGTCAACGGGTACACCCTGGACCCGAGCCTCGGGGAGTTCATCCTCACCCACCCGTCCATGCGGATCCCCTCGCGCGGGAACATCTACTCCATCAATGAGGGCAACGCCAGCAAGTGGGGGCCAGCCGTCACTCGGTGGGTCAACCACTGCAAGTTCCCGGAGGCCCCGACCGCCGACGCCGAGGGCAAGCCCCTGGCCGGGCTGGATGAGGCCACCCTCAAGGTCACGCACCCGCTGCGGCCGGCCGGCTCGCTGGCCGTCCGCGCCGATGAGCACGACAACCATGGGACTCGGAAGCCGCGTTCCCTGCGCTACGTCGGGTCCATGGTGGCCGACGTCCACCGGACCTTCCTCCACGGAGGTGTTTTCGCCTACCCCGCGGACAGGAGGTGCGTGCATGATCCATTCCTCGCCGGAGCCCCTGGCTCCCGGTGCAGCCGATCCCTCGCATGTGCCCCTCCCCCCCCTCTCTCTCCCTCTCTTTCGGTCGCTCAGTCGCCCGCATCCCGCCGGCGCCGCCGCGGGGCACTGACACTCCCCTCGCCTCTCTGGTGGCTTCCTCCCCCCTCCCCCCCTCCCCGGAGCACAGCTCCCCCAACGGCAAACTGCGCATCCTGTACGAGGTCCTGCCCATGGCCTTCCTGTGCGAGCAGGCCGGCGGCCGGTGCACCACCGGTCTGAAGCGCGCCCTGGCCATCCGCCCGGACAAGCTCCACGCCCGGACCGGCATCTTCCTTGGCAGCGCGCTGGACGTGGCCGAGGTTGAGCGCATGTACCAGGATGAGGAGAACGCCAAGAAGTAGGCAGCACACAGGCGCTTTTTTTTTTCTTTGGCCCAGTCGGGTCCCCTCGCCCTGGAGTGCCACCCATTGGCTGCCCGCCTTTCACTGTCTCGCCCTCTCCTTTTCTCCCTCTCCCTCCCTCTCTCTCTCTCTCCCCCTCTTCTTCCTCCGCCCATCCCCATGCGGAGCTCCCATATCACCCAGCATGGAGGCGGGTCGCACGTCGCCCATCTTCCCCCCTTCAGAATCGTCGCCCCCCCCCCCCCTCCCCCCCTCACTTGAGCGAGGCAGATCAATGGGCTGCGCCCTTTTTCTTTTCCTTTCTCCTCGCGTATCCCAATACATACGCCGCACTTGCCTTTTTATGTGTAGCCCCCGCGCTTGTCGCCCGGCCCGCCGTCGCCCGCGCCGCCTGCCGCAAGCAGGACCGCCGACAGGAGAAAAATACTGGATCTATTGTGTTCTAGAGGTTGGCGCTGCAAGCGGGGAGGGGCAGGAAGGGGGGAGGCCGGCACACACCGCGGCGAGAGGCAGGACAGGGTGAGGAAGGCCCCCTTCCCCCCCTCTCCCCCCGCACACACACACACCGACCCGCTGACCGCGGCCAGACGCGCGGATGTCAAGGCTAGCACCGCGAGCGCAGGGCGAGGGCCGGGAAATGCGACTCAGTCCATTCATTTCCCCAGCCCTCACCAGGGGAAGGTTGGCATTGGCACGGGCGCTGGCGGTGCTGACACGCGTGCTTCAGTGGGAGTGGGCCACCGCGGCCGCCGGCCCGGCAGCAGCCACCAGCTGGTCCAGCTGGGCAATGCGCTGCAGGCCCAGGGCCCGGTCCGCCTCCGACACGTGGAGCTGAGCCAGCTCGCTGGTGGACAGCCCAAGGCCACGGACGTCACACAGGGCCAGAGGCTCGGCGCGGTAGGTTTGTGCGCTGGTCGACGTAACGCGCACCAGCACGAAGTCGCCCTTCTGCGGCATGACAAAGCCGCTGGCCGCCGACAGCGGCTGGCTCATGGACACCGGCGCCTCCGGGGTGCTGACCATGTTGGGCACCGGCTGCTTGGGGAAGACAACCTTCGGGCGAGAGGCGATGGTGCACACAGTACCGGCAGACAAGGGGATCGGAGGTCAGAAGGGGCCACATCCCCCGTGCAGGGGCGGAGAAGGAACGACAGAGGGGGGGGGGGGGGGGGGGGGCCCCCCCCCGCCACGGGGGGGGGGGCCCCGGGGGGGCCCGGGGGGGGCCCCCCCCCCCCCCCCCCCCCCCCGCGGCGTGCACGCCCTCCAGCCCACGATGCGTACCATCTTGTTGTTGTCCGACCGGCCGGACCACTCGTCGCTGTTGCGCCGGCTGTCGCCCTCAATGAGGATCACATGCAGGGACCCCTCCTCCAGGGCGGAGGACTTCGACATGAGGCCATACTGCAGGTCGATGACCTCGCGCAGACGGGCCTGCTTCACCTCCTCCGGCACATCGTCCACCAGGGTCCGGTGGGCGTGGGTCTTCTCGCGCATGCTATACGCAAAGAGGTAGGCATGCTCGTAGTTCACATGGTGCAGCAGGGACACGGTGTCGGCATGCTCCGCGTCGGTCTCCCCGCAGAAGCCCACGATGAAGTCCGACGACAGGGCCACCCGGGGGATGAGGGACCGCGCGCGGTCGGCCATCTCCAGGTACGCCTCGCGGGTGTACCCCCGGCGCATGCGCTCGAGCACGGCGCTGTTGCCGGACTGTGCCGGCAGGTGGAGCTGCTTGGCCACGTTCGGCCGCTCGGCGATCAGTCGCAGCAGCTCATCCGGGAAGTCCTTCGGATGGGGGGAGGTGAAGCGGAAGCGCATGTCCGGACAGGCGGCACTCACCTCGTCCAGCAGGTCGGCAAAGAGCAGACCCCCGGTCCGGGCCTTGTAGATGGTCTGGAAGCCGCGCGCCAGGGTGCCGGTCATCTCGGTGGTGGTGGCGGCGCCGCGCTCGGCGCGCTCGTCCAGCAGGGCCAGCCCGGCCTCGGAGGTGTCGCGATAGCTGTTGACATTCTGCCCGAGGAGGGTCACCTCGCGGACCCCCTGGGACTGGAGTTGGCGCACCTCGCGGATGATGGAGGCCGCATCGCGCGAGCGCTCCCGGCCGCGCGTGAAGGGCACAATGCAGTAGGAGCACATGTTGTCACAGCCACGCATGATGGACACGAAGGCCGACACATTGTCCGGGTTCACGCGCACCGGCGCCACATCGGCATACGTCTCATCCAGCGAGAGCATCACATTGATGGCGGACTGCCCGCCGGAGATGTCGACCGAGTGCAGCAGGCGGGGCAGGTCGCGGTACTGGCGTGTGTGTGTGTGTGTGTGTGTGAGAGAGAGGGGGGGGGGATGAAAGGTCGGGTAGGTAGCAGAGGAGCACAGGGTCAGCTGTAAGCATGGGGGGAGGGGGGGTGAGATAGCCAGATGGGCAGAGAGGGACAGCGGACAACGTACGCTATCGGGACCACAGACAACATCGACCGACTTGTCCGACTCGAGGACCTGGTGCTTGAGACGCTCGGCCATGCAGCCGAGCAGCCCGACGCGCAGACCACGACGCTTGCGCTGGAGGAGAGGAAAGGGGCAGAGGGACAGGTCAGAGGCAAGGTGATGCAGACGCCAGTGAGCGGCCGGCCGGGCGTACATGCGCGGGTGCGAACGGGCGGGCGGGCGAGCGAGAGACAGAAATAGGGGTTCAAAGAGAAAGAGAGAGAGAGAGAGAGAGGGAGAGGGAGAGGGAGGGTCCATACCTTGATGTGCGACAGCTCGGTCAGGCGGTTCCAAATCTTGGTTTCAGCGTTGTCACGGATGGCGCAGGTCATCAGCAGGACCACATCGGCATCCTGGGCCGAGGCGCCCTCCGGGGCACGCTCGTACCCGGCGTCCAGCAGGCAGGCCAGAGCAATCTCCGTGTCGTTGACATTCATCTGGCAGCCGTAGGTCTCGGTCAGCACTGTGCGGCCCTGGCCCAGGTTCTTCGGCAGGTATGGGGCCGGGGCGTAGACCTCCTGGTCGTCGCCATCCTGCGGGGGGGTCTGGCCGTCGGACATCTTCATGAACTCCGCCAGCGAGGGGATAATCGGCGGCAGAGACCGGCGACGGGACGCGGCGGAACCCTTCTCCCCGTCCAGGGGGGAGGAAAACTCCGACACCGCAGCGGCGGCGGCGGCGGCGGCGGCGGCGCTGGTCGGCTCCGGGGTGGCCGGGGCCTTGGGCATGCCGCATGCATAGAACCGGGCCTGGGCGGTGGTGGCCGCGGCGGCGGTGCGCAGGGCCACTCCGGCCGGGCGGCCGAGCAGGGAGCTCGCGGCGGCACGGGCGGACGGGAGCATGATGCGGGGCGGGGGGCGGGGCAC